TCACAAGGTTCACACACTTAATTTGTTGAGTGGTATAGAAAAAGCTAATCAGACACATGCTAAAGGATATGAAAGGGAAAAGGTACAGTTGGTGAATATTTTACTCCCACAATAAGGAACTACGATCCTTATGGTTTATCCTAGTTAGTGCACTGCTTCATTCAGTAGGACTTCCTACACCAGTGAGTCATGGTTGACCTTCTGCTAACCAATTCTGCTCATTTTTCTAGGTATCAGAGGACAACTCATGATATCTGTAATTTATTCTTTGTTACATGAAAAGTAATTTTTACAGGTTCTTACACAACAATTTAGACAATGAGTGGACTAAAAATGAAAAACTAGCTCCTCTGCTCCCCAATGGCTCTTCATTAGATCCCTAAAAGCATGAAATGGTGATAAGAGTTTTTTTTTTTTAAACTATGACCAAACAACAGGTTCCCTAAGCTCACTCTTGGAAACAGCTGGGAACCATTTTGGCTGAAACTTTAAAAAACATTCAGCCTTGAGGCAGACACCCGGCATGGAAAATTTCAGCTCAAAAGTCTGACAAAGTGGTAATCAACTGAAAACAGGGTGTTACAATGGGAAATGTTGTGCAACCTTAATAATAAGCAATACTGCCAGGTCTGCTTAGAATACTCACACACCAGTTTGATACAGAGTGAAGTGAAAAATCGTCAAAGGAGCATGGTTGGTTCTTTCAGTCAATTGTGGAAGAAACGTAATGGTATGGGGGGGGGGGGTATTTCTTTTAAATATCATTACACTGACGGCCTAACTAATAATGCAATATAGAAAAAGTTACTAGTTCTAGTCTCCAATTCTGCCTTGCTGTCTTGCCTCCATTAAGTGTTGTACTGGGCCTACCTACCATACATGAGATCATTTCTCCCTCTATGACATCCCAGAAGAGCTAGATTCCACTAGAATAATGAAACTGTCAGCTACTGGAGAAGGTTTATCAACATGGGAGACTAAATACGCAGAAGACAGACTTAGAGGATGGAACATGCTTAGGACTCTACCAAATCATGATTTAAATCAAATTTCATTTAAATCAAATCCATCCTGGACAAAAGTAAATATGCCAGTAACAAATTCTAGAAAATGTGTTCAGACATGACTGAATATCAAGAGTAGCGAAGGACTGAGAATCCTGATAGAGCAGTCAGTGGGTAACTTGTTATTCCAGGGAAATAAGACTAGCTTTAAATGGATATAGAAAAAGTTAAAGTTGTCTTTTCTTGGTTTCTCTCTCATTCGTCTTCCTTTCAATCTATGTTTCTTTTCTTGCTTTCCTTGAGAAATGATCTTAAAAATTAGACCAAAACATAACTGTGGTTCCGAGAGCTCTGGTAGGTTCCACAATTGCATCTAGTGACAGCGTGACTATACCGGTTGTCTCACAGATTTCACCTACAGCATCAATAGCCTATAAGAGTTCACCAAGCAGGAGTCTGGCTGTGTCATACACAAGACAAGTCTTGGGGTTTATTCCAACCACAAACTGAAAAGGGAGTCCCCATCTAACCACATCCAGAGGGATGGAAGCTATAATAAATCTTTGAGAGCAAGACACACAGGATTCTGAAGCAGGGGGTAGAATCGACCCTTTAAAGGTAGAATATTCAGAAGGAAGTACAAGTCAATTCAAAAGAGTATGACAGACCCAGATTCCCTGACCTATTTGCAACAGAAAAAGAAACAGTAAAGATTTATAGTAGACTACTCAAAGATTTTCATCTTCTATTTCCACCTGCTGGGTAGAGGGATAACTCCTGTGGTCTGGAGAGTTCAGGGATAAACCCTCGTGCCACAAAGACAAAGAGGCCTTCTCTCCAACCCTCCTCAAACCATACATATACGGTGGGGAAGAATCTAAATACGTGAAAGAATTAGCATTCATGAAAGAGAGAAGTTAGTAGCATTGCCTTGACACAGCAGCTAAGACAAATGCTGGCACAAGCCTCCACCTTATAGACCTCAATCCTGACTATGCTACTCCAGTCACAAGTGTCTATGGAACAGAGACTGGCAAACATGCTGATTTATGTCAAATAGCATGATGGTTTTGTGACAGAACAAGGATTAATAAACCAGACGTTAATTTGGGAACAAATCTGAATTACCATCTCCAGAAATGCATTCAACCCCTCACCTCTGTACACAACCTACATCCTATACACATCCAGTTGTAGGGCAATTTGGGGTGGTTGTTGTTAAAACGGTGATGTAGATTACTTATCCTGTCTCCAAAGCTGCTTTACAAGTCTGAATCATAGCCTACAACATAAAACAGTTCAATATATACTTCCAGGGAGACAATGTTACGTCACCTTTAATTTTCAATACAGCTGCATTAATAATACTGTAGTATTACCTAATGCCAATTAGTATTTTGATGTTAGCTAAGGTCTTGCCATCCCTTCTCTACTCCTATTAGAGTTGCCTCATTTGCTACTAAAAAAAACCCATAGATTCTGTGAATAGATAGTGAGAAGCTGTTTTGGAAGAGACGGTCTTAAAACTCCCTGTAGACAAAGACATATAGGAGGCAGTTCCTTTCTACCCTCCCCGCCTTTTTGGGGGCGGGGGGAGGGAGTAAAAGCACATATGCTCCTAAGAGAAGCAGATCAAATATATCTAATTTCTCTCCTATTCCCTCTGAAACTGCATCTGAAGAGCATTGAATAAATGACAATCAGGAGACATACTCCTATCAACTCCCTGATTATATTGGTTATGATTCTGTTTAATACAGAGAATTATTTCTGGCCCTCTAAAGTAAGTCTGGACACATGAATCAACACACCCCACAATCCAATAGCAAGAAGTTGAAGCTAGACAAATTCAGATCACAAATAAGGTGTACATTTTGAACAATGAGGGTAATTAACCATCAGAACAATTTACCAAGGGTCATGACATCACTGGCAATTTTTAAATCAAGACTGGATGTTTTTCCAAAAGATCTGCTCTAGGAATTATTTTGGGGACATTCTCTAGTCTGTGTTATATAAGAGTTCAGACTAGATAAACACAATGGTCTCTTCTGGCCTTGGATTCTATTAATCTATGAAAACTATGCCAGGAACCAATTGTAACTCAGCGCTGTAGTCTGATAAATTCTTAAGAATCCTGCAACTGAGTTATATCTTGGCATGGAGAAGAAGGAACAAGCACACAAAATACTTTTACTCACTGCATTTCCATACTCAGTATTTTGATTTTAGAAGTGGGGTATTATTGTAGAAATTTAGGATAACTTGTTTTTGTTACTATGAGTACCAAACACTCAATGCTATTTCACACATTGGAAAAGTGGGCCTCTCTCAAAGTAATGAATTGTTTAGTATTAACATGTACTTATTTCCTATGTAAAGGAGTACCATGGAAAAAATGTAGTAATATTTTGTTGAAATGAATTACAACTGTTAATACCAGTTTGCTTATTTTATGTTTGATCTGTTGGCTGAAATAATAATATGAAACTGGCCAAAAAAAGTGATTAGAACAACAGTCAGAGGCACAAAAGTTTACATCTATTCAAAATGAAATGGACATGTACAGAAATGAACCTCTCCTCCTGATAAATGAGTATGGTCGAAATTCTCAAATCAGGGTGTTTAAAATTAGGCACCTAAAAGCATATTCAGAAACCTAAATAAAATGGGTCTGATTTTCAGATGTCCTGAGTGACACATCCAAATGAATTCAATGGAAGCTGCAGGTGGCGAGCAGCTCTGAAAATCAAGCCCCTTATGTTGGTGCATAAATAGGCTTAAGTTCCTAATTTTAAGCACACCAATTTCAAAATTGTAGCCTATCACTTCAATATCAATAGCTGGAGGTAGTAGTTCTGCTTAGATAGATTTTCTCATAAATCAGTTTAATCCATTCCATTAAGGAACCCAGGATTTTACCACTTTAGCCAATAGATTGTTCTTTAGTGAGGGGCGAATATCCTCCAGGATTTCTCTTTTCCCCTAGAATTCCACATCCCAAATTTCTCACCACAAAGGCTGTGTTGGTGTAACCCACCCAGGGTCAGAAGGACCCTCCACAGCTAGCACTGGAATGGGTTACCTAGGGAGGTGGTGGAATCTCCTTCCTTAGAGGTTTTTAAGGTCAGGTTTGACAAAGCCCTGGCTGGGATGATTTAGTTGGGGATTAGGTCCTGCTTTGAGTAGGGGGTTGGACTAGATGACCTCCTGAGGTGCCATGTACCACGGATAAGTGATCAGTAAATGAGGCAAGAAGGACCTACCTTCTATAATGCAGATTAATTAGAGCATTTTAAATGCATTTGTGTCTACCTAGGAAGTTTAACAGTCTATTGCATTAGATTACCAAGGAATGCATAAACACTACCACCTCCCTACCCACATTTATCCCTTACCAAGATGCACTGCAGATCCAAAGCAACAAAACGTCGGAAGGATGGTCTTGTTTGTTAAGGGCAGGTCTTCACTACCCGCCGGATCGGCGGGTAGAAATCGATCCCCGAACACACTCCCTGTCGACTCCGGAACTCCAGCTTGCGAGAGGTGGAAGCGGAGTCAACGGGGGAGCGGCAGCGGTCAACTCACCGCCGTCCTCGTGGCCAGGTAAGTCGACCTAAGATACGCTAACTTCAGCCACGCTATTCGCGTAGCTGAAGTTGTGTATCTTATGTCGACGCCCCCCCCAGTGTAGACCAGGGCCAAGGCAGTAAACACTGTACTTGGATATTCAAGACATTGGATTCAATCCTCTGCTTTGCCAGACCTCCTGAGAGAGTCATCAAGGGACAAAACTCTTCCTCCCATTAGTTAGAGGAGGATGTTACTTCAAGTACAAACACCCACAAGCTAGAGGCTAATACAAAAAAAATTAAAAAAGAAAAAGTTGCAAGCAGAGACCAGGGACAGCATTCTCATAAAAAACACAGTATCCTCGCTCAGTGCTCAGAAAGAGGAGGGAACAGGGGGGCCTTGAGCACTGCCTCTGCACTTCACCTGTGGTTGTCTTCCTTTCCATCAGTAGCTTCTCCCTGCTGCTAGCAAGTCTCCAGTAAAGAATTCAAGCCTTTGGGGTGTATCTGCAGAGGGCATGATGGCAAGCATATTAATCACCCTGGCAAGTAGGCTTACTCATCAGTTTAGTAGATATTAGGCAGATTTTTCAAGTTCTGAACATAATGAATGCCAGTATATAATTACAACAAATAAAATATTTGAAATTACAGTTTTTTAAGCAGGGCTTTGGAGCTGTGCTCCAGCTCCGCTCCAGCACCAGGTAAAAACCTGCAGCTCCACTGCTCTGGAGCTGCTCTGCACTCCAGCTCCGGGCTCTGCTCCAAAGCCCTGGCTTTAAGTCACACCAGCTAGTCTGGTAATCCAGAGGTAATTAGCTGTCAGAGGTAGGAAATACTGGAGGCAGCATGCTCAACTCAGGTGAGGAGAGGAACAGTTTTCTAGCTCCCGGTGGCTAGCCCTGGAGGGAGCGCTGTCCATCTCCTACTTCAGGATGGATGATCACTATGATCCAGTATGACAGAAAAGTAAAAGGGAACAAATGAAGTGACTGTAGGCTACATAAATTCCCCGCCCCATTTAAAAAAAAAAAAAAAAGTACACCCAGAGCTTCATTTCCATTTAGAATCATAGAATCTCAGGGTTGGAAGGGACCTCAGGAGGTCATCTAGTCCAACCCCCTGCTCAAAGCAGGACCAATTCCCAACTAAATCATCCCAGCCAGGGCTTTGTCAAGCCTGACCTTAAAAACATCTAAGGAAGGAGATTACACCACCTCCCTAGATAACCCATTCCAGTGCTTCATCACTCTCCCAGTGAAAAAGTTTTTCCTAATATCCAACCTAAACCTCCCCCACTACAACTTGAGACCATTACTCCTTGTTCTGTGATCTAGTACCACTGTGAACAGTGTAGATCCATCTTCTTTGGAACCCCGTTTCAGGTAATTGAAAGCAGCTATCAAATCCCCTTCATTCTTCTCTTCTGCAAACTAAATAATCCCAGTTCCCTCAGCTTCTCCTCAGAAGTCATGTGCTCCAGCCCCCTAATCATTTTTGTTGCCCTCTGCTGGACTCTTTACAATTTTTCCACATCCTTCTTGTAGAGTGGGGCCCAAAACTGGACACAGTACTCCAGATGAGGCCTCAACAATGCCGAATAGAGGGGAATGATCACATCCCTCGATCTGCTGGCAATGCCCCTACTTATACAGCCCAAAATGTCGTTAGCCTTCTTGGCAACAAGGGCACACTGTCTACTCATATCCAGCTTCTCGTCCACTGTAACCCCTAGGTCCTTTTCGCAGAACTGCTACCTAGCCAGATGTCTTAGTCACAGTTCAGACACAGGGACAGAACTACTCACCTAGCCAGGTTATAGCCCAACATTAGGACTTGAAGCGTTCAGATAAAATTTCAATGGGCCTCTGCTCTGAAGCAGGATAGGATGCAATCCACTGCCTGGATTGCATCTGTGAACTTGTCCTGAAGCAGGAAAGCTAGTGTTTCAGTGGAATACAGGGGAACCACAGTGAAGATTAGAACCTGAGTGGGGATAGTAGTAATAGGACATGTTGATGCAGGTAAAAATATTCTAATGGTCATTTACTCTACCTTCTGGGCAATGTGAACAAACAAACTATGCACAAATACGAGCAGGAATCCAAAAAGGCTGGCAAAGCTTCATTTGCTTATGGGTCTTGGATGAAACTGGGGAAGAGAAAGAGGAGTAACAATCAGGGCTGGCTCCAGGCACCAGCCTAGCAAGCAGGTGCCTGGGACGACCAATGAAGAGGGGGGCGGCACGTCCGGCCCTTTCAGCAGCGGGGCCGTCATTCCCTCTGGGAGCAAAGGACCTGTCACCGAATTGCTGCCATAGAATGAGCAGCAGTAGAGCTGCTGCCGAGATCGCGGTCTTTTTTTTTTTTTTTGGCGCTGCTTGGGGCGGCAAAAATGCTAGAGCCAGCCCTGGTAACAATGGATGTGGATAAGACCAAATTTCAGACAAACTAAAGTTATTACATTGATGGATGATCCGGGCCATAATGATTTCATCCCAAATATGATCACAGGAGCTGCACAGACTGATGTGGCTATCTTGGTTGTGGATGCCAGCAGGGGGGAGTTTGAAGCAGGGTTTGAGACTGGTGGACAGAGTCGAGAACATGGGTTATTGGTTCACTCTCTTGGACTGACCTAGGTACCCAAAGGGTGTGAATTACCTCACTGAGATAGGGCTCTTATTAGCCATTGACTCAGATACAGATACAACATACACAACCCCTTGATGCAGAAGAGCTGTCTGTGACCACCAAGCACTTTGTAAATTACACTCAGGCTGCTAACAACCCAAAGAGCAAGGGTATGTCTTCACTACACAGTTAACCTAGGCTCTTACCCAGGTTTTAGCCCAACCCCCCGATCATCCACAAAGTAAAACCTCTGACCCATGTTTGGAGGTACTTTATGTCCAGGCTAGCTTACTCAGTTTAGCATTGCGTTTGGGGGGAGGGTACAGAATCTGAGCTCTGCTCTAACATGGGCTGGAACCTGCCCCCTTTGCTGTAAGGATGCAGGCTAAAGGCTAAATCATTTGACTAATCAGAGTCCTCCAATGCCCTTCCCACAAATCCCCCCAAAGAACAAACATTCTCCAGCAATTGACAGGGTGTTTCAGCACAAACCACCATGGGACATGCCCCCAATACACAGGAGCACGCAGAAACAGCGAAGACCATAGTAACACAGCTGGGGCTTTGCCAGGGGGATGCTTGTACCCATGCTAGGCTAACCTAGGTGCCAATCACCAGGTTATCTGTGCAGTCAAGACATACCCTAAAGTAGTACCTTGTATTGACAGTGGCCACTATCCTCTATTAGCCTGAGGTACTGTCCGTGATTTTGCCTAGGGAGAGGAAGCAGTCTCTCTAAGTTAGGATTTGCACCAGTGAAGCTTACTACAAGTTCAAACATGGGTAAGCTCCACCACTGCAAACTGTGCCTTTGACAGTTTACATGATTGTATTAGTGCGGATATGCTAGTAGCTGGCTACTAAGAGCTAACATACCCAGGTCCGACAAGATCTAACTCTACGGAACTCTAACAGAAAAGGTAAAGGTACGCCCACAGCAGCCTTCACCTCTTCCTTGGAGACTTCCTAGAAAGAGGAGACGATGTTGCTTAGAGCACTTTGAATTAGACATCTTTTTGAAATGGGACTAGATCAAAGTGCATTAACAAACTTAACATGTCAGCAGGTGCATACAGACAGTTCACCTGCTGCAAGCTAGCATGGGGTAGAGTCACACCCCAGCTCATCACAGTCTAATTGTTCATGTGGACAAGCCTAAAGAGACTACTGACACAGGAGCTGGAGTACCATAAGGCCAAAAGTCCAAAGGTGCACAGAACCGAGATGGAAAAAAGTCTGACAGATTTAAACTTGGGAGCTGTCCAAACTGAAAATTGAAGCCCAAATGATATTCGTGGGCCCAAACTAGATGTAGAACTGCAGGAGAATGGCAAGAAACCTGCTTTTTTCAGTTGAGAAGTCCACAGCACTGAACTCAGATCCGTCTCCCATTGGATCAAGAACTCATCCACAAAGTGCTAAGGGAAGGCTGTTCTGAAGAAAATCTTGCCTAACCCAATAATCCAACAGATCCTACAGAGTGGTAGTTGGGGTTCTGCACTGATGACTGTTCTGAGTGCTATGACATCCACGCCTTCCAAACCTTCGAAGGGTGTTGACTCCTGGTGCTTTCTCCAGACATACCCAACTGGCACCCTAATGCTGACAACTGAGGTTGCCAGGCCAAATCAGAGGAGGCCTATGCTTTTCAGGACCCTTAAGATCCAGGAAATCCTACCTCCCTGGGTTCCAGCTGGAGCTGACAACAGGATCCTTGTCAGAAAATCTCTCATACCATATGGCACCACCGAAGTGCCAGACCACCAGAAATGCACCCTCAGCATCTGAAGAACTCTGACCTCAAGTAAGTGGAATACCATCTGGCAGTTCCTCACAGTGCATCTTTAATAGAGGATGACATTTCAACCTGGAATTCTGCAACAGGCATCAGCACCAAGACAAGTAGAGAGTCCTTTCTATAAGTTCTGAGACTCATCAGCTACCATAACACATGATAAGAACAGTATTTTTGAGGACAAAACAATTTGGTCTGGGGGAATGGAATGCATCATTCCAGAAACATCCCCTTTTCAGTGTCATCCTAAATGTGGTGCCTTTTGAAAATTTTATTTGGGTTTTCAGGAAGCAAGAGACTGCAGGGAAGGAACTAATCTGCCCTAAGGTAGAAAATACTGATGAGGTGATGTCCCTCAAATAAATTTGTGAAATAAACCATGATATATTGGACAAAAAGGCTGAATCGCATTAAAGAAGTTCTGAAAGCATGTGCACATGCTGATAGTTGTGAACTTTTGTGGGTATGTGATGAGTCAGAGGTGAAGTAACTACCTTAAACTTAACAGGAAGGAGAAAATTTCAGAGAAGCAGTCAGAAGCTGCATAATAAAGGCCTTGTTAGCCCAGTCACATCTCCTGCACTAGAGTATCTGCCAGCTGTCCTCATTCTTGTTCAAGCTAATGTTCAGTACAAAAGGAAGAGGGTGCATATTATGCCAAATCCTATTATGAAAAGAATATATCACATTTTAAGTTGTATTTAAACCTATCATAACTACTTACTGGTTGCCTACTTTCAGCCATAATTCTTCAATGTGACAGATTAACTTTACCTGTAAAGTTTTCAATTGATCATGCAACACCCTATACATCAAATAGGAAAGCTTATCTTAAATTTTCTGACTTGTTGCAAAGACGTAAACACTTTCAATTTACACTATTCTCTTTCCAGAGGGGGACAACTCTTCAGATTGTGGAAGTGTTTAATCACTGCTCTTTTATTCAATTTTGTGACCAAAGGAAGAATTACCATAATACAAATGATACTGAATATAAACTGGCCATCAGGAAGTTTAGACTTGAAATTAGACAAAGGTTTCTAACCATTAGAGGAGTGAAGTTCTGGAACAGCCTTCCA